GAGCAACTCTTGCTGGGGCTATGTTATACTTGTTCAGAGAAATTACTCTGGCTTAACAATACAAGTACCAACAGCAGTTTTGGAAGGCTTTATTCTGTTTAACCCATTCATAAATGGCCAGCAACTTGAGGGACAGGAGAAGGAAGCTCCTGAATCAACTTTGTCATCAGCTACATGTTGTGGCACACACTTCTATGAATAATGGTAATGAGCAGAATTCTGAACTCCTCCTCATTAGGTTTGCAAGTTATCCTGTGCCCCAGCCTGGCAAGTTCACCAGCTACTGCATTTACAGCCATGTACAGGTCTTTGATGCGGCAGAAGCTAAGAGAACCAAGCCTGGCTGTGCAGTCTTCCTCTCCTCTGGTGCCTTTGCTTAGGCCATGTAGCCCATTCCCTCACATTAAGGTAGGTTCAACTGAATGCCTAAGACACTCCAGATAAACTTGTTCTTAAAACTTCTCTCAAGCAAGACTCCTCTGATGTAATTAAAAGCCCTTTCTCCCTGCCCTCTCTACCACAAAATACAGTTTATTCCCTTTCTTTTGAAGCAGCACATTTCAAGATGGTATGGTATCCTCAGTCTTCTCTATGCAAATCTAAGAAATCTTTCCCTGGAGGAACTGTTTTCTACATACTTGATGGTTCTTGTTCTCTTCTGGACTCTCTCAGAATGACCAACACTTTCTCAAGTGCAGATTTCCTTAGGAAAGACAATGCTCAGATGAATTCTTGCAACAGATCTTTGAGTCTTTCAGAACAGGAATTGTAGCACCACTCTATTTTGATCCCAAATACTTTAGAGATGTCACCATACTTGGTGTGGTGAAAACATGAAGGGAGCTCTAGGTATCTACACGATACATCCCGCACCGAGATATTTCTTAGTAGTCACCAAAGTCACCTCTCGGGCAGTTTTATAACAGCTCTGGACACAGCCAACACTCCATTTAGACTGCTGCTGCAAGGGAAAAGGCAAACCTAGCAGTGGAGATGAACAGCTTGAGATTTTCTAAGAGTCTGGACTTCTAAACATAAAGAAAGAGTCCTCCTGACATCAAAGGTGTGAAGTAACAGATACTGCCTATAAAAACATGATATTCAGGAAAATACTGAAAGGTTGATTTTCTAAAGTATAATTTTAGCACTGCTTTGGAAGGCAATGGAGTATATCTAAGGGAACATTATCTTGAAAGAAGTTAGCAAAAGCAGAGGCTAAACACAAGAGCCTGAACTTCCCCTCTTTCTGACTGGAGGTAAGTAGGAAAACTATTGACAGACGAGAAGAAATAAGAGCCAGAGATTCAAAAGGAGGACCCACCAGAATCTGTAACACAAGAACATATGCTTTGACAAGCACTTGAAGTCTGTAAAAAGTGAGACACAAGAGGCACAGAAATACAGTTGACTAGAACATGATGGGCAATGACAACAGCAAGAAAGGAGGCAGAGTTTACCAAACTAGGAAAAATTCTCATCTTCTCCAGCTCCAGAAGACATTCTAAACTAAAACTCTGAAGAAGAGGGAGGAAGTAAGTACACCTGAAAGTGATCTGGACTGCATTGCAAGGGGGAACAGGAATGCTTTAACAGATGGTGATCGGAATCTACATGGTCAGGTCATTGGCCACCAGATCAGGAAGGCTTCTAGCCTCCGAGGCAAAAGGTCCACCAAGAAAGAGGTATGGGAGCCTTTGGACAGGGGTAGGATGTCCTTGACTTTGAAAGAGCTAGCAGAATCAGTAACATTCTGCTCCCACTTTACTGAGGTCAAACTGATTAAAGAAAGAGAATCACAAAGAACATAGTAATAAACCTGACTGCGAAAGCAAAATTATCTCATGGCAGGATCCTGGTCACTGAGCTAATCACAAGCAAAGGCTACAGCATCTCCCAACGACCCAGGCAGTGAGCAGGCCCATCTCGGGCTTCCCTGTATCCTGGAATATCAAACTGGATCTCTCACTGGTGGTCCAGAACGACAGCGCTCCTTAGTTCAAACTGCCAGAAACATGGAGGAACCAGATACATCAACCTTGGGAAAATTAACCTTTAGTGCTAAACTCCACACTTGAATTTTCATTGCTGTCATACAAAGCAGTGAGATATGGTTCCTTCCTGCTTGTACATTGCTGTCAACCTGACCACTGTATCTTAAACACAAGAATACTTCGATTGCCCTCATTAAATGTCTCCTTAACATCATTGGCTTAAAGTGTGGCAATTCTCGGCCTTATCTAGTGTAGCTTTGATCTTAGAATTTTTCTGTCTATCCCATACTAGTTTTACCACTATCATAGTCCCCTTGTTTATTTTTATGCCTGTTATGAAAGAAGATATGCATCTTGAATTTGATGCTGTGTATCACAGGGTACATTTTCCTGTCAATGTGAAATCAAGATTATGTGAAAAAAAGTGTGTTCTTTGCGGATTCGTGTTACCCCTCTTTGTTTTTCCCCAGACACTTACAAATAGTCTGGTTTTGAATATTTATTGCAGTAGCTTTCCAAATATCGATATGAATGATTAACTTATCAATTACTTTTTTAAAGCCTTTTTTCCACAGGGAACAGTAAGAAATAAATAAACTGCAAATCTCCAGGGTCTTCCTTACTTGATTCCACCGATTTCTTTAAATGATTGTAATTTCAATGGTTCTGCTAATTTATTCATTCTTTAGTGAAATGAGCTGCCCCATCTTTCAATATATTGAAGAGACAGGAAATTAAAAGGAGGGAAGGGGAAAAAAAGGAGGCAAGGAAATAAGGGGCCTATGCTTAAGTGCAGCTATTTCAGTACAAACTTCCTTTCAGCCTCTGGATAGCTGAACGTAAGTCTATGGATTTCAGTTTCCTGAAAGATCTGGCACTTAACAAAAATTACTGTACTCCCTTGTGCATCCCTCTGACCGTAACAAGTATGCAATGCTAGATGAAAACCTGATTTTTTTTTTTGCTACTATATTCACAAATGAAAAAAGGAAAAAAACTTAATGTTTAAGGTGTTAAATATTTTTACACGTAGCCAAGCTGGCATTCACCAACCTACATGTACGTTTCGGAGGTGCAAGAATAAATGCCAATGCTATAATTTGTTAAATACTTCTGACAAGCAGCCACTTCAATCACCATAAATTCTCCCAATTTAAACCACTTTTACATAAATTTAAACTTTTCCTAAAACACCCAAGTAACATTTTTCCACGTAGGCTGATCAAGACTTTTAGAAAACTCATGGCAAAGATCATTCCACTACTGAGGAATTTAGAGATGTAAAAGATGTTAGCTTCTCTATGGGACTTTTTGTTCTTTAGTAGAAAACTGCTAAAATTCAGTAATTAATAAATTGAGTATTACCACTATTATCAATAAACATGGAGCCTACTTTTTCTCACATTAAGGTACATATCACTATTTCCTGAAAATAGTTGTATTACTATTTTACTTTTCACTTACCAGACATGAAGCTGGGCTACTAGAAACCACGAATTCAAAGTATCAGGCATTTGGCACCCTTGATGGGAGGGGGGGAAAAAAACCAACAAAAACACAAAACCAAAACTAAGTATTAATATGAATTTCATCACTTTTTGCACCTAACAGAAATTCACTACAACAAAATCTAAATACATTTGAGTAATTTAATTTCTGGCCCTAAACAGTACATTTATATCAGAAGCAAACATCATTTACTGTCACACTTGTGCTTAAACTCTAGAACATGCAGCCACAGGACACTGTAGGTTCTGAAAGATTTCCTGTGTTTAAAATTCACTTAGATAACATTTACCGGGGGTGGGGAGGGTGGGGGGGTGAGAAGTTCCAGTGGAGAATTAGACTAAACGTGTGGCTTCTAGCTCAGGAAGTCCCAAAGCAGTAGAGAATAACAGGGAAGTACCAACAGATGCTTTGTTCCATTCTTACACTCCTTTAACATGTGCTGTTGCCTCCTGTCAGGGACAGCTACTGTCCTTGCTCTGACTTCGCTGTTCTGATTTACTACACAGCTGTGCAACCCACAGCACTCTGAGTGTACCTTGCCTCTAGCCATTAGGATCAAAACTACCAACCAACCATAGAAACAATTTTTGTTTCCTGATTTAGCTCTCCTCCAATAACCACTGGGTTTCCCAGAGATGGTTTGTCCATACGCAGGTCCACACTATGGATATGCGTGTGCCATTTAGATGTGAGGCTGGAGATTCAGGCTACGTGGCACAGAAACCATATTCCTCTTCCTCGTGGATCGCATAGATCTATGGGTTATGTGCACATTAAGTCCTTTAGTTCCTGTCAATCTTAAACCTTCCTTCTAGGAAGTCACCCCTACACCTGTTTCCTGGAGAAGTTAAGAGGAGCATCCAATGAGAAGGATCTGACACTGTCACCTTGGCCTACCCAGCACTTGGTCTTGTCTTCTGGACTGTTCAAACCTAGCTGTAAGAAGGCCAGAGAGTCAGAAATGGACTCTCCAGTCAGATGTGCCCCAAGGAAGTCAACCTTCTTTCTCTGTGTTGAATGTATTTCTTCCTGACTCCTATAATTCCTGGCTCTCAAGTATTACCATAGAGATTCACCGGGATCATGAAGCAACACTCTTCACAGCCTCTTTCTTTTTATATGCCAACTATGGTCAGGCAACCACCAGAAGAACCAAGCAAATCATCACTATTCCTCCCTCCTCAGAGAGATGACTCCATCAGTGCCTAGGAGGTGCCAAGCTTCAGCATCAGTGCCCAAACATCCCCTGTGCCACCTCTAAGACAGTATAAAGACACTAACAGTCTATGTTTGGAGATCAAACACAAGTTTCCCTCACCCTTCTCCCCTTTTGGCGCTCTCATTCCTATTAGCAATAGTTCAATGTCCTAGAAATAACTACTTTGACCTAAAGGCACGCCAAAGCACTTCTAACCAGGGCAAGAGCACACAACGCTTGCATTAATCAAACCATTTCATTAAATGAAGGTTCCACAGACAAGATTCAGAGTAAAACAGTTCAACAGACAGAGGTTTCTGAAGTAGAAGTTACCATGTATCAGACTCCCGCCACAGAAATCTCTCTTCAGTGGAAAGCAGTACGGAAAGTTTTTAAAGACCTATTCAGTACCCAGGAGGGAACAATTTTCTCCCTAACTTTCCAAGTGTTGCACTTCTATTTTTATAATTCATTTTTTAACTTCTATATTAGGACTGTCTACATCATAAATTTAAAGAAGGGATGGCTCCTTTAAAGCAACAAGCTTGCCCTCAGACATCAGCTTTTTAAAAAACTGCAATTCTAAGACGTGGGGGTTTGGAACACCTTATTCTGGGAAACTAACTGGGGAGAAAGATCTATCCTATAACTAAACAGAAAATTATTCCCTTCAGAATACAGTTAGATACAGAGAAAAATGTCTTATAGTAAAGCTATCTATGAAATTACTGTGATTGTCATCAGCTGGGGAATGAATCTATTCTGCCCGCAGAACACATCCTGTTCATATGTCTGTATACGATAAGAGACAGGAATGCTCAGGATTGTGAGGACATACCTCTTCCTCCAGTCATATTCTGCATTTAAAATTCATCAGGTAAGGGATGCAAAACTTGAACGTGGACTTTGTTTCCTGATAGATCATCTTTGCCACTACCACAATTTTAGGAAGAATGTAATGGGATAATATGTCCACATCCTGCAAAAAAACAGGTGCACTAAGTCAGCATTCCCCTGAGCATGAGATAGCAGCAAGTGCCTATAAGGCACCTGATGGGCTAAGGGACACAGAAGAACGCAGAGTCCTGGAGGTAAACTTCGGCCCTTCTGAGCCAGTTAGTAGCCCCACTAGGAACCATCTGAAAGGCTGTTTTGATAGGGTCAGCTCCTTACTACTGCAGCTGCATGACAGTGGAGCAATTAACAGTACAAGATGAATTCAAGGTCACCCTACACTCCATATTCATCAGACAAACTTCAGCTCAGCTCTCAGTATCACCTACCTGATCCTAAAAGCTCTTTTGACCTTTCAAGTAAAAGGTTAGGCATGAAACACTCTCCTCACAGATGGCTACCTCCTCCATTTTGTTAGAACTACCCAAGCCCTGCAAGCTTTGTGCACAGAGAGCCTGGCACCAGTAATCTTGCTATTCCCTCCAATACTTCCCTGTTCTCCTTTAAACTAGAAACAGCTGTACTCCTGAACCAGCACCACTTTCCATATAAGTGACACACTACAGACATTTGGGATGTAAGCTCTAAAGCACAGTTCCCAAAGTTTTGTCTGTGGATGATCACAAAACAAAGAGACAACAGAATGGCAGGTAGAATAAAATTAACTGCAGTATAATACCAGCAAGTCTCAGTTAAAAGACCTCCTTTACACATTACAGTGCCTCAAGACTTGCATATCCATAGTCTGTATTTTGGGAACTGCTGTTCTAAGGCATAATACAGAGAAAAGCAGTTCACAGGGCTCATACTGCATAACAAAGTCTCAGAAATTTCACTAGGCATCAGCAGAAATGCACTGAGATAGCAAGATAGCCTGTAAGACATGAAATGCCATCATGTTCCTAGTCCTCAACACCACAGTATCCAGCCTTTACACTCTGTGTCACCTCTGTCAGAGAATTACCTGACAAAATCCACATACAAAGCAAAGTTCCATAAGGTCACACTGCAGTTGTTATTCACGCTACAACATAACCACATCACAAAAGCACATCCAGAAACACTGAAGAAGGCTCTCTGAAAAGCTGGTTCTGATCTGAAGAACTGGTTCTGATCACACAAGGTTAACGAGCCCACAAATGCTTTTACACACGCCTGGATTCCCAAGGCCAGCTCAGTAGGTTAACAACTCTCACAAACGGTAGAGAAAAAGCTAATAAGCTCTCCAGAGACCAGAGCTGACCCTGTGCAGTTCACTTGGATATCTCAACTCCACACATTTAGAGGCAGAAATGCTGGGAGCAGCAAAGCATAAATATACCTCTAGGTCTAAATGCAGTCAGCTTTGGCTCAGGCAGACCTGAGCTGGGTCCCATGCAGCATCATTACTACTCTTCGGGTTCCTCAGCAGTGCAATTCATCATGTGGGTGTGCAGCATTTTTGGGAGTGAGCTGCAGTCCTGGCTTAAGCAATACCCGTGTTTATTTGAAAAAGAAGCAATTCGGAACAGAAAAAAACAGCTCCCAAGTGACGTAGTTTGATGAAAACAAGGTGAATTGAACTGAAAATTGGATATCTTGCTTCATGCCATGTTCCTCTCTCAATCATGTACTCCTCACCACCTACTTTATGCCACAGCTGCTATCAGACCCTTCCATGCATCACTTTATTTCACTAACACAGCAAAACAGTAAGTAAGCAAAAAACTGGGCTGTTTTCTTTCAGTGACCTAACCAGTTCACCAGAGGACATAATTGTCCAGTCTAGAACACAAGCAGAGGAAGATGGAGAAGTCAGCCTTTTCCCTTTAGCCACTACTTCAACTCAGCTGCCCACACAGACTAAAGCTTCTTCACTGGCAAAATCAATTTAAAAGGTTCCTGCTCACCCCACAGAGCCTGTGTTTTAGGGGAACTACTTTTTAAACATGGATCACATGCCTGTTAAATGTTAGAGCTAATCCCCCAAACAGCTGCAGCTGTAAGTAGATAGAAGTAGCAGAAACTTCTTATACCTGTTTTTATACAAAAGCAACAATTTCTTTGGAACCACAACACCAATGGGTGCACCACGCACTCTGTCAAGCTCAGCAAAACAAACTACCTTGTTCCTTAGGTAATGACCCTCTCAAGTCAATGCAAACATAGGTTTCCCTGAGTGCAAATTCAGAGATGGACTGGCCACAGCTTTTACTACAGAGCAAAAAGACAAAAGGAGCAATGAGGACATTCTGGAGAAAATAGTGAAACTTGAAGGAAAGGCTGCCTGCTGTTTGTGATATGTTTAAAGTGAGAGGGAGCTCTGGAAATTTTCTCTTTAAAACAGTAAGACAATATCAAGAATACAACTGAAGTCATTTTACTTCGTATTGAGTCTGAAAATCTGTGCCAGTATCTTCTTCACAGACATGTTTTGAAATTCCTTTAAATTTTAATCTAGGGCAACATTTATATATCTCTGTACAATTAACCTGTTAAGCAGAGATAGTGAACGCCAGTTAAAAATAGCAAAGCCTCTGTTTGAGAGGCAAACATGACAAACAGAGGAGAACTTATCTGAGAAAGCCTGAGAGGGCACACAGCTAGGGAGAGGTGTGTGCACAGGAAAAATGAGGTTCTAATTTTTTGATCACTAATGATGAATCCTACTGCTCACAGAGTTCTTTCACTCCTGCAACTGCTGAAACCACATCACAGGTTTGGAAAACCTTCTGAAAACCATTGGAAAATCTTGCAGCAGCAACACCATGTACCAAACCACCCTCAATAAGCTCTGCACTAGATGAACACACAAAGATGTCCCTTCAGCTGATCTCTCAAGGGGCGGCAAGCAGCAGCCCCGATCTGTGCTGGTGCATTGTATAGCATAAGAAAGCACTTGGTAGCTCAGGATTTCAGGTGACAGGCCAGATCCAGGCAATGGGTTTACTACCAGCTAAATCATGCTGACATCGGAAATAATTCATTCACAGAGGAATAAAATATTATTGAAGCTTGCGTAAGTCTCAAAAAACCACCTTCCCCATTCATCAGCCAGATTTGATACTAATAAAAGCAGCAACAGATTTTTTCAGCTAATAGCTAAAAAAACTGTGTGCAACATGGAAAAGCCACCCCAATTCAAACCAGTATTATTCCTATATACTTAAAGGAGTGACTTGTGTCTCTGTTCTAGTCATAATCTCTACCCAGTCAAGAGATGTCTCCTGATTCAATACTGCCATGGTCAGTAAAACGTAGAAAGTCTCTATAGTTCTAGCCAAACCTGCCCCAGGCATGAGGAAGAGAGATAAGTAGGACCCTGTGATCTAACTGACCCTGTATCATAAAAAAAGTTGTGCATCAGTGGACAGGAACAGTTCTCATATTTGCACCCCAGTTATATTGGGCCTTCTCACAACTGGTCATGGGACAGGGCAGGACACAGACGACCATCTGATCACAGTAAAAAGGGAAGAGATATCTGGATTCTTAATTTATCCCACGCCAGTAATAAAAAGAGCAATATCCTTCAAAGTCCAGGATATTCTGGGTTTCACCTATCCCACTCTTGTTCTTGTTCTCAACTGCAGTGGGCAAAAATGTTACAAGCCCAGACTCCAGAGCCTGCCCTTGAACCCTTGCCATGTCAGAGCTTAAGGGAATGCTGTGGTACAGACAGATTCCAGCTGACCACACACTGTGAGGGTCTGACAAGTCTCTTTGCTGTCATCTTTATTGGTATAAATATATCTAATGAATTTATTCAGAAGTTCTCTCACCACAGCAGTAGTCCAAATACCATCAAGTCCATTACTTACTGTTAAAAAACTCCTCGTAGTCAGTTTTCTCCACGCAGCATGTGTACATGCGCAAAGCTGCTACCTTAATTTTCTAAAGAAAAAGAAAAGACAACACAAAGTATTCACCATGAGAGCAAGTGAACACTACTGATTTTGTTAAATACACTATCATTTTCTGAAAAGACCTCTTTTGAGAATTACAATCATGTGAGATTTTCAGGAGTACATTAAACTATTCTATCTCCCAGGAATGATACATGTATAATTAATCTTACCTTGAGGTAAAAAAAAATAATAAATTAAATAGCTTCTTAAATACCCTTCCAAATCTAGTTTAATATAATACTGTCATTACAGACAAATAAATGAAATGGCTTTCCTTACAGAGGCTCCACAGAACCCAATTCACAATTCCTAGTTTCCTCCAATAACTTTAATTGATATTATACCACTTAAAGCGTTGTGTATAATTTATGTTTTAAATATTAAAGAAGTGACGTACCAGACATGTCCTAAAAAATATCTTTTTTCCTACAAAAATGAAAGTTGACTGACTAAGCTTCACAAATGAGAAAGGAATCCCAAATGGTGAATGACATGAGGTATACTCAAGTGTACTGGCACTTCTGATTTTGTTCTTAGCCTGTTATTGCACCAGAAACACCTTCAGTGCATCACCTGTAACAAAGATACATGTGCTGAATCTTCAAAGAGCACAATCACTAATAGCAAATATCTTAAAGAGAGGAGCTGTCAGCCATTCCTGTTTACTAACACCAAAGGGAAAAGAATAAAAAAATTAAATTGAAAACTCCAGAGCTCACTCCCCTACCTTAGCCAGGAAGCAGCATTGGGTTCAGGTTGGTTTATTTTGTTCTGTTTTGTTTTTATTTTTAGTGACATATACTAAGGATCATCTCAGTGCTCACTGTACTACAGAGGTGAGCACTACGCCTGTCAAATGGCACTTCAAACTACCAAAGTAATTATTTGTGTCTCCTCCAACCAAAAGAAAAATAAGGAAGTTGCGACTGATCTCCTGTTGTGGAAACACAGGAATCATTATTTTTCTGATTCAATAATCTCAGGCTTCTGTCAAAACTCAAGTATACATCTAAACTTCTTGCAGTAAAATAATTTACACTGCTTACTGGAGTTCTGAAGGTTTCCTTTTTAAAGGAAACATTGCCTGGCCTGGGAGTAGAGTCTCCCTGGTGAAAGCCATTGCCCCAGACCAGGCATTATTAGTCATTAAAAACATATTGTAAAGAGCAGCCCCTGCAATCCAGCCCTTAAATAAGGCAGGTAACACAGGAGAAACTGGTGAAATTTAATTGTGGAAGTTTTAGGGTGTAGAAGAAGTGTGGGGGAAGGGAGAAGAAAATGGAAAAAAGCAAAGAAATATTAAGAAACTTCCCTAGGATCTCATAGAGAGCACTGGCAGGGCCAAAAATGAACTCAGGTCTCTTGGGCCCTAACCACAAAATAACTCTCTCCAAACCCAAGTTCCCCAGCCAAAAGCAGGCAGTAAAGAGTAGCAATTAAGGAGAACTCTGAATCAACACTTAGAGCTAACAAGAATCTTTATTATAACAATATGTACACAAGCACATGGGAGAAAAACTACTTTCTCGTGAGGTTTAGCATCAACTGATTAAAAGCAACTGATTTTAACCAAAATACCTAACCCCCTTAAGCATCAGTTATCTTTTCTTTATATTTTCTTTCTGAGAAGTGAGATGTGATCAGCAACAGTTTGAGATCAGTCTCAGAGGGGGTCCACTCTGCCTTGCAGATATTCAAAGTGCCTAATAGGTTTTAATTCCTGCACAGTTGGGCTCAGCTCTTCCTTCAAGCTGCCTTTTCCTCTTACTCCTTTATACTGTGTCCTAGTTAAGAGCAAAGAAACGATGAATGTCATCTCTTTTTCCTTCTGCACAAGGAACTGAAGGTGTCTCTTCCAGAACTCTCATTTAGTCAATGTTAACAACTACTTTATGAAAGGACTATTTAAAAAATGCCAAAGAGGAGGACCTATTTGCAACTCTGCCCTAGTCAGCTACTACCGAACAGCGACTCAAACAGCAATCGTAACTTATCTCACTGCTGTTCGTTTGGAAGATGAACAGAACATACAGAACACTGAAAGAGGTTCAGAGAACGGCAACAAAAATCAAAACATGAAAGACCCTCAATAACCGAAACAAGTTAGACTAAGTCTCCTCAGCCCAGAGGAATACCAAGATACATATGGAATATGTCTTGAAACAAACAACTGTTGTAGGTTGGAGGAGCACATGAGACAAGTATAGACTTTTCCTGTAATTAACCAAGATACTATGGAATATATGAGTCTATAAAATCATCAGTGGAAGGGAGAATGTGAATATACACTCCAAGGAATAAGTAATCATCATTTCTTTCAAGTACAAAATTAAAAGGCACCAATTGAAAACAACTGTAGTTCTTCCCCCAGTGGGTACTCAAGCTATGGAGCTCCCTGATACTGAGTGCTATGGATGCTATAAACTAATAAGAGTTCAAAGTGCAGCTGGATGAATTCAGAGAAGAAAAATCCCTCAATAGTTACTACAGAAAAATGCCTAGTTTCATGCAGGAAGTCTTGAAACAAACAACTGTTGTAGGTTGGAGGAGCACATGAGACAAGTACAGACTTTTCATGTAATTAAATTATTGCTAGATAACTGCAATTGGTCATTATTAGAGACAAGATGATGGTCTATTTGGGTGTTTTTGACTTAGATAGTAAGGCTGTTATTGTGTTCTTTGGTGCATAAATGAAGTGAAAAATAATGTATCTGAAGAAATTCAAGAAGGCTTAAAATTCTACAAACCAAATACAAGATTCCTACGTATGTCAATGATGGCAATGCATAGATCAAGGGAGGTTCAACCTATGGATTATTATTCCTCACATCACAGAACAGGAATTTACCTGGGTAATAGTTAGAACTTTTCCATTAAGTACTGCTCCTATCATAAGAAAAAAAGTGTGTGTGTGTGTGGGGTTGTTTGCTTTTTAGAACTCTGACAGTATCAAACAGCCAAAACAATTATTAAATGAATGCTTTACCCATCTGCTATACTTCAGTGGTCCTGTGAAACCCATTGCTTCTATTATCCTTGTGAAAGTACCCACTTTCTCTTCAGATGGCTGCAACGAATCTTTTGCAGAAAGATGCTGTAAAATTGAAATATCACATTTCAGTCTTAGCAATTACATTCGATAAATCATTTTAGTTAGAAAAGCTACAAATTTAATAGAGAATTTTAGTTTTGTTTACTTTCTCTGCTCAACAAAACAAATACATATTTAGATCTTCTCTGCAAAATATTACACTGTTCTTCCTATGCGACATCCTTCTGTTTATTAATGCAAACATTGCATAACCATTTTGACAAAAGCATCCCATTGGAAACTCAGACTCAAATAGCTTGTTCAGAGACCTGCTTTTCGAAATAGGGCTCCCATTCTAGATTTCCATATTCTTTCTAGATGTGTGTCTTTACTTGGGCTTAAATCTTTTGCAGATAAAATGAGCAAACAAATCACAGAAACAGAGTAAATAAAGCTAACCTTACACATTACCTCTCTTACTTGCACAAGCATATCATATTCTAGAGTAATTACATATTATATAAACCAATAAGCTCCATCTTAAAACTAACGAAGCTACATGAGCCCATCGTTCTTACTGAAAAGCTTCCCCAGATTGTTATTCCCCTTACAGTTAATCTAAATGGTACTTGCAGAAAATCTAGATCAGGAAAGTATTTAGTCCTCGACGATTTGCATCATCTACAAACATAAAGGTAAATGTTCTCTCTCAGATTAACTACAGACCTTAAGCACCATTGGACTGATAAATCTTTGTGGCATTCTGCCTCTAAGCAACCTGGCAGCAAGCAATAGCCATTTGTACTCCAGCAAATAATTTCTAACTAATTAAGCAGGCAGTGTAAACATTTTGTTATCAACAAATTACTCAACTTTTAACCCATCTAACCAAAATCTAATGCACGTGAATCTCCTACATATACTTGAGGAATACAGCTGAGAGCTGTATATATAATCTGAAAAAACTCCCTGACCAAATAAATGTTAAATTGCTTTAAATAGCTGGAATTTTACCCTAAACAATTCCTCCTAAGAAGAATTTTCTTAGTAGGGAAGCAATTTAGCAACATAAGGACTCAAATAGCCAGAACAAACACTTAGAACAGGACACCATCTCCAACAAGGACCAGGAGCAGATACTTGGACAAGACACAAAGGCACAGAAACATGGCACACACCCCGCAGCTTACCGGGGTGTACCTGCCCAGCTTTTGACAGTCATTCCTGTACTAGAAAATGTATCCGCACATTCATTTTTGGCAGCTACAATCAGATGCACCTTCAGCACCCCAGTGTTTGAAACTATTTAACCTCTGTAACACAGAGTTGTGGTACACAAGTTTCAGACTTTAGTTATGTAAAAAACAATTCCCTTGTGCCTGTTTTAAATCCAACCTTGCCATTTCATTGGATACTCCCAATTTTCCTACAAGAAACTGCAAACAATCACTTCCTATTCCTATTCAGTATCTTTTATGACTTTTATAGGCCAGTATCATACATACGCCCATCAGTTATCTCTCCTTATTTTAAAAGGGTCCTAAACCAGCCTCTTATCATACTGAGGGCTTTTCACACTTCTGATCACTCTGGCTGTGTTCTCTATAGCTTTCCTAGCATTAATATAGTAATTTTTGAAGTGGTACAAATGATAAATAAGCACATACTAAAATACAGACACATAATCTGCACGAGTTGCTATATGAATTAAAAACTAACCGTAAAGGTGACTAAAATTGTAGCCTTGAGACATAATCAATCCCTATGTATATCCACACACAAGCTTTCACACTTGAGACAAAATGCTTTGCACTTGCGTAAACCAATTTTTAGTACCTTCTCTTCAAGATTATCCCATGCAATACCCTTCTCCTCTCCACTAAAAACACCACCTACCCTTACATCATAGGATATCTCCATAAACCCCCCTCCAGCCACACAGCGATAGAATATGCTCAACGCAGAACCTGTGTCCCAATAACTATTGCCATACCAAACTCACTAAGTCAACTTTCATCTCCTCCGCAGGAATTAAAATCATACTAAACCCCTAGTGAATCTAGGCAGATTAATTTTACTACGTGTCTTTTATCTACAAATGCATTATGAAGTCTCCCTCAGTACGGATTTTTAATTAGGCAGAGGCAGTTAAGTTAAAAACCAAAATTATCTCAATTCAAGTGTTGCTAGCTCATCATAAAAGAAAATGACTGGAAAACAGTCTTTTTTCTAAAAAATGCCACGAGTCTCACTTCATTCTTCTGCAAGTCCACCTGGACTAGCTCAGGAGATGGAGAGGGGATTTAGGTAGGGAGCGTTTGATTCATCCTACGGATAGAGGTATGCAGTTCATCCTGCCAATGCTAGGATTGCAGCCAAATGCAATTAAACTGTCGATATATAAAATGAGATCTAGAAAACATATAGAGAAAATTTCAGAAGTATGTTTTTTAACTCACTCGAAACAAATTCATCAAGACACTGAAAGGGACATAAGCCCACCTCAGGCTGACTTCCCTGCTCAATACCTGAAATTCAGTGCCAAAGCAAACAATCCTCTTAATTTTGACACCAAATATAAAAATGAAAACAATTGGAGCTCACCATTAATTCTAAACCACTTTCCCACCAGGAGGGCATATTCAAGTTCACATTTCAAAGACAAGTAAGTATTTCTCTACTCAAAATAATGAGGTTGCAGTCCAAAAACCTACCTCAAACCTTACCTATACTGCTGTAAACCACTCCTTCTCTGGTCATAAATCCTGCCTGGCTTCTCACACCAAGGCTATTCTAACCAAGAAGTTTCCTGATTTATCTTTCAACCTTTGTACCCTTCCCCTAGCCCTTTCCAACACATCAAGAGCAAGTCTCCAACCCCTGCCTTGAAGACCTTCATGCCACTCCTGGCTCGTTAGATCTACCACATTGTCATCCATTGCTCTCCCAGATCTGTTCCGCAAACGATGGTTATGCAGGTATATATGAGAGGCAGCACCGGTACGCGTAGGGACCAGGGATATGCACCATGTTTGTCAGCCTGGATTCCATTCTTAGCTCTGGCCATGGTAAATTGTGTAAGCCATTTTGTATGCTTTCAATCTCTTTGTCTGCAAAATGCTTGGTTTACCTCACCAGCTGAAAACCACTGAAAAATTGACTAAAAAAAGGAAAACCTCTAGTTAAGAACTAGATGCAAACAGCAGGAAGGGGTTCTTTCCTTCCACACATCTCCTTGTTTTCCTTCATTTTGTCTATCCATGCCAAAATACCCAATTTAAAACACTTCTTAGTGGTTACCTCTAACTCTACACCAGCAAAATACACAATGAGGCGGACAGCAAAGTGGGATTGTTGCTTTTATGCAAGTTTTACCCATCAATCCCTAACTTTCTTTTTCATTCTGTCCCCTCATTTCTTGTGCACACATTTCATTTTGCCATTTACTTCACATTGCATTAACAGCAGCAGGATCAGGATATTTATTAGTTGAGAGACACTGACTCGCTTGGATTAAGTGCTAAACTAATCTTATAGAGATCACTCACGTTCCAGAAAACTTTTATTCCAAGGCAAAAGACAATAAATGTAAGAGATGCAGAGACAACAAATTAACAAAATAGTACAGATGAAGAGTAAATAAATTATTACACAATAATTAGTTGTTATCAGTAGATTGCATGACAATTTTCAGTGTTCAGCAGATAGCAAAACTGTCGTTACACATTATTCCCAAGCTGAAGAATCAGGAAACATCTTGTCACTTCTAATATGTATGGGCAACTTCTGTGTTTCCCCTTTTAAAGGTAAGAAAGGAACATTTGCCCCCTGCTCCAATGACTACTCAACTTAAGTTTCTTTCCTCATTGGAAAGAAGTCCTCAGGCTTATAATTGGAACCTTCACTCCAGGTAACCCAGCTGTAACCACACCTTCCTATGCTAGTACTTCATTTTCTGGAAAGGCACAGAGAACACTTCTCAAATTATTGGACCCATTGTTCACGCTGTACTAAAACATTTCATATAAAAGTTGAATCATCTCCTACATGTCTTGCAAAGTGTTTTGTTACCTGTATCTGTATAATCCCTAGTAAAATGTGCCCTCCAACAATAAAAACAAATCTTCTAACCTTATTTGTATTGTAAAATGATCTGTTTTGCTGTGGAACGGCTCCATTGGCTTGAATCAATCCACCACAGGATTTCGCCTGTCGGAACTGGCCAACCTTGCGTCTCTAGTAAAAATGATAAAAGAAAATAAAAGAAAAAAAAATGAAGACACCATTGACTAGTAAACACTTAACTTTACACCAATTACCCTTAGTATGCTTCCAAGTCAATTACAGTTCAGTCTAATCCTGAAAAACTTTGTATCACAAAAATTTATTACCTTAACTGTTACAAACAAAATGGTTGTTCATGCTTAATCCCCTGTACCACCTGTTTTCTAGTGTTCTGTAAACGTACTAATGGAATGGACTGGTAGAACACTCCACTTTCAAAAACCACAGGCTATCTGCTTTGATTTTCTCACACACTATTTCTAATTATGGGGTTTGTCTCTCAATAAAGAATAATTCTTTTTCCTGGCCTTGAGGAAATAGTTTATGCTATTTTTATCTATAACTTTGTAGTCCATTCAATTGTCTTTGTGGCCAGGACTTGAGCAAAACAAATTACAGAGTAAAAGCTATCACTATAAGCACTATAACTTCACAGCATGTGATTTGTATCACAGAGCTACTGCACAATAAAGAAAACTATCTTTAGTTTTAGTTTAGTGCACAATAAAGAAACCTACTTGAAGCTGCACACTAAACAGCACACCTATTGTAGCCTCCCAGCATACCCAGATTAGCAGTAACATATTTAATGAATAAATTCAGACAAAGTAAATACGTTGATTTGTTCACAGTAGTCATCTCCAGAAGTCTACTGAATGTGCTGGTGCCTTGGAGTAAGCCCAACTCTATCAATTGATTTCACAACTGCTTATTTCCCTCTCTGCTCCCAACATCATGTGCTACTTGATATGGACTGATGCTTTAACGTTATGGTTGTGTCACAAAAGCACAGGCAATTTTCCCAGGACTGGAAGGTCTTATCTCAGAAAAGACATCTGAGCAAAGAGTTTACAGGTAAGTTTCTAATTCTGTAAGTCATCGCTCTATGACACAAGTTGTAATATAAAGCAGGACAAAGAAGAGGCTTAATCTCTTCTTGTTTCATTGTATGCAAGAAAGAAACAGCAAGCGATGTACTCTAATTCTGTTCAGATAGCCTGCATCTACTCCCGTTCTCTACACATTTTTCACCTCTTTAACTAGTACATCATGTAATAGCAGTTAATAATAATTTCTTGTGGACAGACAATCTGACACTAAGCACGCTATTACAGAACTGGAAGCAAACCTGCAAGCAGTTCTTTTCAGCAATACATAGACAGTGACAACATCACTTTTGGAAGCTTCTTTACTTCAAAATCATGACTTTTTCTTACCAATTTAAAATTATCTTTTTTCTTTTTTTTTTAAAAACACACTTTAACATACTCTGATATCCTACCTGGAAAATATCATGGAGCATTCGTCTACACTGGCCTTGGACCGCAGTTGTCTGTAACAGTCCACTGCACACTGCTATCCATTGAGTTACGCCAGCCTGGCAGCTCTGGAACAGAGAGACTAGCAATGAAAAAAAGGACGCTAATACTCAGAAACAGTTTAACTGTCCTCCTCCTTCCACAAGTTTTATTCATGTATACCACAATCCTCAGATTAAACTCCCAACTTGCACTTGACAGAAGTATAAATTTTGATTTTAAAAAAATATCTTGCCTTCCAGTACAGGCATGCGATCCAAATTTGACGGCAGAAACAGATCAGTCAAAGGAAATGGTGGGCTGTCTAAATCATAATACTCCACCACAATTTTTATATCTATGCAATAAATTCAAATGCTTAAGAAGCATTCTTCAATTGACTGAGTGATCTCTAAAAAGCCCTCATTCAACTCTCAGCTTTTATGCATCATCTTACTTTATTCAGGCACAGCTAAGAAATTTAGTATTTCAAAAGTGTATATTGCCCCAACAAATTTCAGTGAAGATAATTATTTTCTGTAATGAAAATGTCAGGTAATATGGGAAAGAAGCAGGGTTTTCATTGCCTGCACTTTCTGTGCACCTTTCATTTTCTGCAATAATCAGGTTAGTATAATATTTGCCTCCTTCATACTTGTTCTACATTAATACTGGAAATAATGTATATATTATTAGAATGGATATGCTTTTTTCCAATAAAAATAGCTTCATTTTCAATTGTCTACAAAGATGATTAAGAGACTGAAGCATCCAACATATAGGAGAGGTTTAGCTTTGAGAAAAGAAGACTGCAGGGGAATCATACCAATTTGCTGAACTACCTGATGGGGTGGGCAGTCAAACTCTTCTTAGTGGTACCCAGTGAAAGGGTAACTATGACACAAGCAGATCCGCCCAAAGATTAGGAGGAACAGACACAAGACCAACTTGAGTTCCTGTTCCCTGTCCCCTGTACCTGCACAGTCACCGCTGTCCCTCAGGCGCAGCATATTGCCTCCTCCGGCTGTCCCTCATCATCTCCTCAGAGCTGCACTTTTAATCCATTAAGAGAATTGATTTGGGTTTTTAAAAACTGTGAGGGGAGATGTGCATTGCCAGTACAAATGTGATTAGTGTTCACTGCTTCTACACCTTCCCACTTCTACTGTAGTGAGACTACTTAGTTTCTGCTCTTTCTCTGTAACATCACGAACCAGCAAGCAAAATTATGAAAATGATACATTTCTATTCAAAAAGACATTTCAGCCTAGTACCACAAAGAACTTCTTGAGGTAACCCAGTGCTCTGACAAACAGATTAACAAACACTTAAATTAGCAAGAAAATTCACCATTTTTTATAAATAATTACTACAAGGCATCTGACAGAATTTTGAGGCTTTTTCTTCGTAATAGGAAGGAGAACATGCCTAGGTTGCAATATGCCTTAGAGCTTGAACATACTTTAGGGGTTTAGAGCTGTTGAAAAGCACTACTGCAACAAAACTGGACAGAGACACAGGAAAACATAAAGTAAGCATACGTACACTTAAAAGGTGAGATGTGATAAACAATCAAGTTATAAAGAAAAAGACAACAGCAGAAAGCTGTGGAGCAACAGAAAAGTAACATGATGAGCTAAGTAACCTTCCCTAAACCAGCATCACCGCAGAACGTAACGTTCAAATTACAAGTGCTACTTTTACTTCTCTGTTTGGCTGCAAAGTACCAAGCATAAACAGAACGGGATTACTCAGGAATAGTCTGCAGACAGCACAAGCACCTCCTGCAGCTAGCTGCCTTCTCAAGATACAGACAGAATATCACTGTGGTCTTCTAAATCCTCCTGGTAACCTTTAGGAAAGCCTTAGGTAGCAGGCAAACTATTAATCAAGAGCTCTTCTTAGATAAAGAACAGCTTTACCACAATGGCAGTATTAACTAGTAGACCTGAAATGTGTGGACAATAATCAGGACTGTATCATATGCTGTGAGATCTTGAGAAGGCTTGAAGCAGGAGAAAAAAAAATTCCCTTTCTATTTCAAGAACAGACATTAAGAGACTGAAGATTTATTTTCATATGATTAGACAACTATTAAATTGTAATGCAAAAGCAGGTGCTGGGAAATGCCAACGATCAGCAAAGCTTGAGCTGAAGCATGGTGCTCCTGTCAGAAGTCTCCTGCCTCTCCAGTGCGTACTCCCACCACTACTACAGCTCAGGAGCTTCTCTCATTACAAAGTAAGGCACTTCAGATCACAAAAACGGCAAACGACTACATGCCCTCCTGTATAAAGAGAAAGTTTTCTGGCCAGGCTGAAAACTTGAATTGGTTCACTTTACCATATGAATGCCAGAAGCAGCTGGGAGAGGAAGAGTTGCCCAGGGACAGGTAAGCCTAGGAGACAAGTCCTTCACCTTCTGCAAACAGGTTTATACAGCAAACCGCACCCTGGGGGGACAGCTCCACGGACAGCTGAACCCATCTGGTGACTCACTGCTGCTTTACCTCTCCCTGCACCCCTCCTGCCTGCCTTCCCCCTCCCTTTTTGCTACCAATTGCCTCTTTAACACATTAAAACTGCAGGAAACTATTTTTACGTTGCCATGGTTGTGCTGCTCCAGCATTTGGAACATAGGGGCCAAGAAAAATGCTGGAGGAGGCAATGGTAGGCAACAGTGCAAAGGCATGAGTGAGGAGAAAGAGTAGGACTGGGAGGAGGAAGCAGGCTCTCAAACTCACTGTGCTTCAGGTGCTCCCAGGCAGGTTTGCTCTCAGCTTGAAAGGTGAAAGGGCAGGGCTCACCATGCTTGTAAAAACCACACCCCGAGACATCAGTTCCAAGAATTTAGTGGATTAATTTCCTAAGCGGGCATTGCCCTCTGACTAAAGGCCTTTCATCTTCCTGATGGATCTGTCTGCACAAGCAGTGCTGGCCACCCCTGCAGGTGTGTTGTGAGAGTATCAGACCCATGCACAAACTTTCCTTTTCTAGACTATATGCTAAAAAGCAGTACTCTGCTGCAAAGATTTTAAAGGATAATAGAAAGGAAAAAAAAAAAAAGTACACAAATGCATAAGAAGAAAGGAATTGTGTGATTCACAATCCACCCTCACTCATTCATAGGAACCCACTCTCTTCCACTTAACACAGAAATTAGAATATTTATATTACCCTTGCTATCAAAGACAACAAGAGGAGTACCAGAATG